AAAAGCGTACGTTTTGTTTATTTACATAGCGAATGCTCTTAGCCACTGTAAATTCCAAAGCAAATATTTTAACACTTTAAGTAATTCGTACAGCTAGATGTTTTACTCGGAGCAGGGATTTTGGGTAAATGTCATCTCTGTATGCATCTGAGCTCCTTCTAATGAAGTGTCATTAAACCCCAAGTCCCAAAAGTACTCATTTATGAAATATTGTGTGTCTTTTATATGGACATAAGCAGTACTTGATGATTAGCTGAACAAAATGCTGGTACTGCTCTCGAACTGTCCCCTGCTTTTGCTAGGGTGGATGGGGGCTCTACATTCAGGAGCCCCGCCGTCCTGCCGATGCAGCTCGTCTCTCCGTTCAGATGCTTCACCCTCCAGAAATGCTAATCAGAGCATCACAATTCATGCAGCTTCATTGTCAGGAAAATCACCACAATTAAGGCCTATCCTCCCACCACACTGAAGACCAGGAGCTCAGTCAGCATGTAGCGGTAAGCTGTAGTCCCCCCCCCCCCACCAGCATTATGGGATGTATCACAACATGGCTGACACTGAGCCTCCTGGACACGTTGGCTTGGAGCTCCTTTCCTCTGTCTGCCTGTGCTAGTGGCTACAGGATGGATCGCCGTTGTCCACCTGTCTCATGGGCCCGTGGCTGCCATTTTGAATGCTATTTCCTTCTTAGTCATGGGCGGTGGGGGCTGGGGAGGCAATCCTCTCGCCCCAGACCCTCAGGTGGGTGGGGTCTGTCAGCCAGCAAGGCGAGGAGCTGCCCCACTACAATCGTTCTCAGCGCGGTTGACGCACAGATGGTCTGTCTCTCTTTCGTGCTCAGTGCTGAAACGCCACAAGGCCTCGGAACATTAGTCACTGTCAGTCTCTGTTTCTGTGTGTGATGGTGCAAATAACGGGGCAGCGATTCAGCTCATGAAAACACTGGTGACTGGTGAGAAGAGGACGAGCGGTTGAATCGATCGCTTTGCGTACGAATGTCCTCTGAGCACGTTCGCACGTGCCAGTCAACCTCGGGAGCCTCTCTGAGTTATTGAGAAGATGCCGCTCTCTAGGCTGGTGTCAGCTTTGGCTTTCTCTTTACATTATTTGCCATTAATACAAGCACGAATACAGGTAAATAAAAATGATTATTATTATTATTATTTTTATTATGCTTTGGCATTTCGAATTCTTACTCTCCTTTGAGACAGATACAAATTCAGATGAGAACAAAACTGGTTCTGAGCGCGGGGTCAGCCACTTGCCCCGCCCCTCTGGGACATTTTTTGGACTTAAAGGCCTTGCTCAAGGGCCCAACAGCAATGCCACCGTTCTCCCACTATTGGATTTGAACCAGCGAACCTTCCAATCTCAGGCACCGGGGTCGCAGAGGCACTCATCGCCCCATTTATCTAAAACCTGTCCATCACTTTTCTCCGCAGCGTGGAGATCCCAGCATAGCTGCACCCGCGAGTCCATTCCACCCCCTGCCACAGCCTCCACCCATGTGCCCCCCTCCCACCATCCTGAAAACAGAGGCTTTGTTTTCAGAATGCTGTTTTTCCCCCTTGTTATTGAACAATTCTAATCCCTGTAAATGATGAGCTGTATAACTGTATCCCTGACTGAATGTATCTGTTGAACTCATGAATAAGCTGTTCCACTCCCAATAATGATTGCTGGAATCAATCTCAGCTTTCACATTCATGCATTTTCTCCAAATGAAGGAGAAATATTACTCTCCTAATTTTTAATTATGTGAATATTTGCAGCTATTTACCCATGTGTGTATAATTAGTCTGAGAAGGGTTTGTCAGCTTGAGCTTTTGAAATGTATTCAATAAAAGTTACCTTATTTATGCTGCTGTCGTCGTATAACGAAAAGGAATGCTAATGTGCTGGGTAACAAACTAGGGAACACTGCAGCTCTGAGTTACTGCTACTGTGAAGACCCAGGAGGCCTGGATTTCCCATAGAACCACCTGCATTTGTCTTAGAGCGCTCTTGCTACATAGATCAAAGTATTGAATCTCAAGTTTGTGCTAACAGTTACTTTTTGTCACTGTTTTCCTGTTGTACGAGTGTGTGTGTGTGTGTGTGTGTGTGTGTTTTAGAAGTGTTCCAATCCTCCCCAGTGTCTCCGTTAATGTTTTCTCAGCGTTTTCTTTTATGAAGCTGATGGTAATTCCCTTAGACTAATTTCTCAGACTGACACCGTGTCATCCTCCACCTTCCCTGTGGGGCTTTAGAAACCCACATGGGTTAGGGTGCCCTCTGCAGGCTGCTGCAAGGGTGCGATAAGAGTGGGCTCTAGGACCCTGGGGACGCTGGGTGCTGGTTCAAAGTCACACGGCTCGCAGCTCACGTTCGTTACATTGCCTCCAAACTGCAGCAAAGGGAGTGTCCGCTTCCTCCTTCCTGGTGGAGAGCGGGGCGGAGATCGCTGTGAGTCAGTCTGTCTTTCCGCGGTAGCACGTCTTTGGGCTTAACGCTGCGTGTCTGTAGGTCCTAGGCAAAATTCTGTGCAGTGCCAGCAGACGGAAGATGTCACCATTCAGGCGAGCACTCGCACCTGCAGATGGCTGCCCCTGCGATGTTCTCTTGCCTCAGAGAGCGAGTCCTTGCCCCGTGCCCAATGCATGCTGGGATAGGGTCCAGGTTCACCTTGACCCTGTACTGAATCAACGTTATGCAAGTTGGATGTGTTTACTGATTTTCTGATCAACACAATCTAAATCCACCCCACCCTGAAACTTCTACTTCAGACAGTGACACTAGTTTTCTTTTTAAGAAAAAGTAACTCAGAGTGAATATAACTTGAGAAATCTTTTGTGGTGGTTATGGCAGTGTAGGCTTCTGGTTCCAGCATGCTTCACGTTGGCTGTCGGTTGGCTTTAAAGAACCTTCTCGCTGCCTCCTTTACCCTGACGTTCAGGACTCCGCAGTGTGCTGCTCGGTGGTGGTTCCTTTGACCTACATCTCCCTTTGAGTCCTGGGAGAGTGATACTCTTTTGCTCTCAAGTGCTTCAGCATCTTTCGCCTAAATTGCCATAATTCTCCTTCCCTTGTGCTTCACATGTGAAGATTTAGAGAGGAGGAGGTAGGTTTGTCTCAACCCTAAAAGAGCGTTCCTCATTTTAAAATGTCCCGTCCCATTATTCAGTCTGTGCGCTCTGGCAGCTGAGCTGGTTTTCATCTCCCTCAGAAGCTCGACCGCTGTGTAGCTGTAAACTACTTAAACTGTGCTGTACCCCAGTCCCTCCCACTTCTGCCACACAAAATAACGTTTAGAATTTAATAGCCCTCTGTGGTTTCAGATTTTCTGAACATGATTCACTGCCTCCATAGAAATGTCTTTCCCCTTCATCTAGATTTACAGAGATATCCTTAAGTCCCAGGGGAGGTGGGCCGCTGTTCCTGCCCTCAGGTCTCCTAAGCCGTCATGGCATGCTTGAGAATCTAGCAAAAACTTCATGAAAAGATGCAAATCTCTTGTGTAATCGTCGGATTGTTTCTAAACTGCTAATTGACCATGGGTTGTAGTCGAGGTCTGTGGTAATTATCGGCCCGCAAAGTAGGAGGGATTCCTTGTAGCAGTGCAGCATTAATTAAAAACTTCTTTAGATGCCTTGTGTGATAATGGGCCTTAACATAATAAGTGTAGGTATGTATACTGACTCTAGAAAATGATAAGGAAAGCAATTCTAATAATTCAGATTAAAAAGACTTTGAAAATTCTCATAATGCAAAGAATAATGGATTTGTGGAAATGGCCTTTTAATCAGATCTTAATCTTAAGTCCGGTATTAATGATCTTGGCGTTGGAGGTCTTATCTAGCCTTCTAAATGGCTTTAACATGTGTGGTGTACTTTCCACGTCGATCTTACTTTTCTCTGCCTAGTTAATCCAGACACTGGGTATAACTGCCTTCATGCTGTCCTAAGTACATCACAACGCTATCAATACAGCTGTGAATCAGATATGAGGGTCCAGCAGACTGCTCTGCAGAGTGTGGGTGTCTGCTTGGAGCCGGTAAAGCCAAACGCTTTCTGCTGTGAGCGGCCTGTCATTCCTTATTGCTTCCAGGCAGCGTTAATTCTTTGTCCTGCCCAGTATTTCATCCACAGTGACGAAATCCTTGTTCAGGCAGCCGCTGTTGCTCCTGCGATCAGCGACGGCTCCGTTTCCTTGAGGTTGTCAAGCGTCTAAACAGACGGCTCTATCGGCGCTGCAATTTACATCTCCGTGCCAGAGCCTTCGGTTAATTGTCAGCGTAGTTTAATGTCTCATTAACGGGGTGTAATTAATGAAGCCTCTTCCTTCCCAACGGCTCCCGTTTCCAATCATGCTATTAGAAGAGAATCGCCTTAGACACAAGCCGTCAGTTTCTCTTCTCGTTTTGACCTCCACGGCATGGATTAAGGGCCGGTTTCTTGTGACGTCAGCAAACACGTTGTCTACAAATTTCTTTTGTCTGCGCAGCCCAGACAGTGCATGAAGCCACCTGAACTCCATAAAGGAAGTGCATTAAGGCGGCTAAGAGCATATTTCCACTGGCCTCTTCAGTGTTGCCTCCCAAGTCTTTTGTTCCCCTTTTTGGGGGGGGGGTCTCAGAGGGTTAGGCCTCTGCACCAGTGATCAGGAGTTGGCTGGTTCAGATCCTGTCCTCAGCAGAGTAGTCACAGCTCTGCCAGGCGGATGAGATAGACCCTTCACCCCTGGGGTGCTGAATTAATGGCTGACCCTGCGCTCAAACCTTTCAACTCACTCTCAAGCTTTACCCCCTTTATACGTGTGTGTATGTCTTAATGGAGAGCAAGATGGGATATGTCAGAAGATCCATTTGGCAAATATAGATCATATGCGTAATATTGTGTGTGGTGGTGAGTTAACACCCCCATGGAAAACGCGGAGGGTTACTGGCTGTGCTGAGTGTTCCTGCTCCCGTTCATTAACACCCGTCACTGCTCCCCTTTGTGCCCCCTCCCCCCCCACCCAGCTGGCCCTGTCGGACCCCGTGCACAGCGTGTCCCTCCAGCAGTGCGCCTACGAGAAGCTGAAGGCCCAGCAGCTGCTGATGGGGGAGCCGGGTTTCCAGGCGCTGATGGAGACTGTGGATACGGAGATCGTGCGGCAGCTTCAGGAGTTCCTCAAGGGGCTCTGAGTGGCCCGGCTTGTGGACAGGATGCTGAGAATAGCTGGCCCCTCCCCCCCCCCGCCCCCGACATCACCGCCACCGCCGCCACCGAGAGGAAGCCGCACCAGTGTCATGTGGCCGGAACGCTGCCAGAGCTCCTGATTAACTTGTAACTTTTGCTGCTCCTTTTTTTTTTTTTTTTTTTTTAACTACGGGGGAGGAACTGGGTGGGGCACCATTTCCCGAAAGGGGGTCAGAGTGGGCGAGATGGCAGCCCCTTTGGACTTTTTGTATTGGGAAGCCAGAACTGTGGGATTTTTTATTTTAATTTAGATTTTTTTGTTGTTTTTTTTATTTTCTTTATTTTTGATTTATTAACGGAGAGACCTGAACAGTGTTTACAGATTTATTCTTAATAGAAATCAAGAAATGTAATTTTGTATTTATGTGAAATATGAAGAATATTCTCCATGACAGGTCCCCCCCCCCCCCACAAAGGTGAAGACATGACTACTGAAATGAATTGGAGGACTTGCTGGCGTTTCCAAACACACACATAGATATATTTTTTGCTCACCTGACAGTGGATGAGAGACACTTTGTAGAATTATAATGACGCCATGTGCGTGTGCTTAGGTGGGCGTGACCCCCCGTGCTTTTATTAACAACCGGCTGCTGCTGCTTTGCTTACACACCCCCAACCGCCCCCAACCCCAGTCACGTGGTGCGTGACAATCAAGAGCACTATGGAAACCAAAAAAATTAATGAATGGTACAGTACACTGCTTTCCATATGACAGTCCTGAGCTAAATGTAAGGACAGATAGAATTCCAGGCTTTCCTCTCCTTTAAACCTTGCAGAGGAATGACTGCTTTTTGTTGGTTTACCTTTGTGAGAGAGACACACACTACTGTGGACCTGGGGCTTTGCGGAGGGCATCAGCGTGCACTAGCTAAATAGCCACTGTGACTGAGCTAAGTAGCATAAAATAAATAAATAAAAAATACGGCCTTACACTATCAGCCTTACTTTACCCACGAAAATTTAATTTACTCTCTTTATTTTGAGGTTGAGGATTTGCTTGTTCTCGTACTGACTTTGACATTTTAAATACTGTAGCATTGTACACTTTGTAGCCATTTAGGTTATAAAAAGGGGTCCTTTCACATTTTTCAGTAAGTCAGCACCAATAAAATGCAGACCATGTTTGAACAGCCGAAAGCATTTTTGCGTTATTTCATGAATGCGAAACTCGGATATTTGTGGAAGGCTTGTGCAGAAATCGTTACGGCTTAGCGACGTTAACGCGAGCACTGAGAAAGTTAATCTGCTTTTATCTGACTCACAGGGCCGATATAAAGCTAGACAATCCCATAGGTACAGTAAAAATTAATACAAATTTACTCTGTGAAAATGTATTAGCACTGACTTAAATGTCAAATTCGTACAATTCATCAAGGGATGTTATACGTTCACATAGCATATAACTTAATTTCACAGACTTGAGCATAAAAAAATTAGAAATAAGATGAGACCATTTATTCTCTGATCATTTTGATTTTTCATAAGTGACAGAAGGAACAGGCAGACAGCAGTTCCTCAGTGAGTAGCTCTCTCTCTTACTCACACACCTCCACGCTCCACTCTGCCCCCTTTTCTCTGTGTCTGGAGTTGCATGCTGTCTCTTTGTAAGTTGTTGAAGGTCGGAGTGCTATGGACTGGTGTCCCATACAGGGTGCCTTCTGCCTTTCGCCCTGTCAGGCCATGGTTCATTCCCAGTCCTGCTATGGACATGCAGCTGGAAGATGGATAAATGGCCGGCCAGATGTGAAACGGCAAGTATCGAGTAAGTATCAAGTAGTAGTTTAGCAGCATGACATATTTTCTTGCTTTGTGCTATATATTTTTTTTCTTTTACCTTTTCCCAAATGAGGTATGAACTATGTCTTTCCATATGATATGGTATTATTTGTCTCAAACTTACAGTCAAAATATATTTTTGCCCGTGACTTTAATTTAGAACGGAGCTCACGGGTGCTGGAGACATGCAATCTAACCTTTTCTTTTTTAGCCACTTATCTTGGTCAGGGTCAGACGGTCGGGTGCCACAGGAAGTTCAGAGATGCCAATTAGCCTGGTCGCAAGTTCTGCTGCATGCAGCAGGGAACCAAAGTGCCCGAAAGAAATCCTACCTATAGGGGGGGTGGAATTCAAACCCACTGCCCTGGGGTTTGTGGTCTCTGATCCCCAGAGTCACTTGTAGCTGCCGCTAGCACAGTAAGATCGAGGAGGACCTTCTGCTGAGAAGCTGCATTTATAATTAGGTTCCAATAAACCTCTTAACCACCCTGGACGCAGAGTCAAGCCCTGACTGCCAAACACCATGGAGGTATAAATACCCATCATTCCCTCTTCAGGTATATTGGTTGGCATAGCAACGCCTGGGATCCATACTGCACTCCTGTAATAGGAGAAAAGGACTTTTTTGCAGTGCTGGGCTATTTTACTTATTTCAACAAATTAGTGAAAGGGGACAAGTTTATATATTAACCATTAAAAAGCAAAGCTGCATATTCTGCAAAAATAATTCATATTGAAGTGTTCTGGCCTTGGAGGTGTTGTTTTCTCTCGCACTCATGTAGGGTTAATGTGTTCTGTCCATGGTGAATAGTGCGTAACACACTGTGCCTTTTTGTACGGAGTCTGGATCACACTGACCCTAATTGGATACCCATTTATTAAGACTTGGGTACTGCGTCTGCTCTCTTGCCCTGGGCTTGGGCCTGCTGACCTGTCCAAAGTGAGAATCCATTAGTGGGGTCTGCTGACAACACGAAGGATCCTGTCACTCTCTCCGTGTCACTCATACAAATGTCTCGCTCTAGCTCTCTATCTAATGCACACCAGGGAGTTCGCTTTTGGGGCATGTTTCTCCGGCATTCCAGTGGCTGGCCACTTTGCTGAGCAGTTCAGTTTCAGTTTTGTTTATTTGTCATATGCAAGTTAGCACAGGGTCAACGATGCAATGAAATGTGATTGACGAGAATAAACAAGTGTCTCAGCAATATATTACAGAGAAGTAAGACAACGTTCTTACACATGAAATAAAGTGACAGCAGTGTAATTGTCAATGGTTAAAGGTGGCAGTCAAGTGCCAGTATTGCACATATTTTTTTATACTTTTGTTTTTTTATAGTAATAATGATAAAAATAAAGATAAAGTGCAAGGTGTATCTGAGACTATGGGAACAGTGCGTATTGCATCCAATGAAGTGTGACGTGCGTGTTCAAGTGTTGTGGTTGAGGTGTCGAATGGCTTGATGGTAAAAACTATTTTTTAGTCTTGTGGTCCGAGCAGACAGACTCCTGTATCGTCTGCCGGATGGTAACAAGGAGAACAGCTGTTGTGCTGGATGGCCGTGGTCCTTGATGATGCTGCGTGCTTTACGGAGGCATCGCTGGAGATTAATGTCCTGAATAGCAGGGAGACTCATGCCTGTGATGTACTCTGCTGCCTTCACCACTCTCTGTAGTGATTTCCGGCCGCTGGTAGAGCGACTCCCGTACCAGACTGTAATACAGTCTGTCAGCAAGCTCTCGATCGCACTCCTGTAGAAAATTGAGGTGATGTTGGCGTTCATGCCGAACTTCCTCAGCCTCCTCAGGAAGTAGAGCCGCTGGTGAGCTTTCCTGATTACAGTGTCTGTGTGAAGGGTCCAGGTGAGATCTTCGGTGATGTTAACTCCCAGGAATCTGAAGCTGCTGACCCTTTGGACCATGACACCGTTGATGTGGATGGGCTGGTGTTCCCCGACGGGTCGTTTCCGGTAGTCCACTATCATTTCTCTTGTTTTGTTGACATTAAGAGAGAGGTTATTATCCAGACACCAGTTGTACAGTGCCATCACCTCCTCTCTATAGGCCGTCTCGTCGTTGTCCGTAATGAGGCCTATGATGGTTGTGTCATCTGCAAACTTGATGATGCTATTGGACCTGTGTTTAGCAACACAGTCGTGCGTGAACAGGGAATACAGGAGGGGACTAAGCACAAATCCCAGTGTCGTTCCTGTGTTTAAGATGAGTGATGAGGAAGTGTGTTTACCAACTCTCACCACCTGGGGCCTGTTGTGTAAAAGTTTAAAACACTGGTCTGTCGCATCTTTTGTTTACCATGACATTTCTGATTTAAATTAGAAGCAAAACTTTTTCACATCTGTACAGTGGCGCGCTGTTACCTCTGGGTTTGCCCTGGGCTTCCGTGTCCGTCGTCGCATAATGCAGGAAACACGGTGTAATCGTACGGTTACGTAACTCACAGGAGCTGTCATCTGCGACAGCTTATGCCCCCGTCTGTTTGTCAGTCACCCCACCTGCATGCGAATCTGTCTTTTAGCCCAATAAACATTTCTGAGACGTGGGGCTGTAATCATCGATCACAAATGGGCCGTAAAATTATACTCTGTTTCTGGAACTGTCATAAACTCCCCCCCCCAAAAAAAGAAAATTCCAAGTTACTAGTTACTTCTGGCTACAGCATCTGCTTAGAAAGACAATAGCATTGGGGCATGAGTGCATTCCTGGCAGCTGGTACCAGTTCCTTCTTTGCAGAATCTGTTTGGGTTAATCTTGACTGACGGAAATTAGACGAGGGAGAGGGTGATGTATAAATTACCCCTGAGGAACCTTGACCTCTAGCACAGAGGGGGTAATTGTATCTCTTCTTGAGGGCTGCTTCATGTGCCATCGCAGAAGTACGGCAGGGTTAATCACTGCTCGGGAGACAAATAAGCGGCAATCGCACTCTATTACGGTGTCAGGGGCCGCTGCCACACCTGAGGGACAGTTTCTCACCGGCCATTTGATTGCTTCGCATTCGTCTTTTGGAATGAAAAGCTTCCCGCTCATCTCTGGGCGCAGCTGGTGGCTTTAGTGCCACACTCCCACCTGTGGGAGGCAGAGAAACCGCTTGGGCTTGACATTAGGTCAGTCTGTGGTGCAACTTTCTGAGAAACTGTCATCATCTGGTGTTTAACCTCAGGCATTGTTTTCCAGGCCCTGCAGCGCTCAAAAAACTGCCTGCCAGCAGAGTTTGAAAGACCTGCTTACTTCTTTTCTTGCAGTTTTTCTCTGTCTTTGTCACGATCTTGTCTCCATGTCTGAGTTGCGTAACGCTCATAAGTGTGTGGTCAGTACTCCTTTCCCTCTGCCAATGATATCGGTCACCTAGGCTTACAGGGGTGCTGTTTTTATTTACAGTATTTATTTATCGTTTATTTCACCAGGAAGGTTCCACTGAGATACAATATCTCTTCTACCAGGAAGTCCTGGCCAAGATGGCAACAAATTAGAAAAATAAGACATTAGAAGATGATGATCATGGCTGCCCTCGTCTATAGCTGATCACTGATTTATCACCCGTATGTTGAAAAGGTTTCTGTCCATGTTTTTTTTTATCCCACCCATTTGAGACCATGGAAGCGTAACTCTGTCTTGGATAGTATTCAATATTCAAAGCCTTTTGTAGTCTGTAACTAAAAACTATGGATTATTCCTGGAAGAAAGCTCTTCCAGATTCCATACTGCAGAGGAATTATTTCAAATTTCTTAGTTAGAACAATACGAGATATGTACAAGCAACTAATTTGTCCAACCCCGTCTGCAAAAAAGTTGGGACACTGTGTAAAATGTAAATAAAGACAGAATGCAATGATTTGCAAATCATATAAACCCATATTTATTTGAAAATAAAACAAAGACAACATGTCAAATGTTGTCTGAGAAATTTTACCCACGAAAGTTTTGAGAAATTTTGTTTTATGATAAATATATGCTCAATTTGGATTTGATGCCAGCAACATGTCTCAAAAAATTGGGATGGGGCAACAAAAGACTGGAAAAACTGAGTGATGCTAAAACAAAACACCTGGTTGAATATCTCACTACTAATTAGGTTAATTAGCAACATATCTATAAGATGATTGGGTGTAAAAAGAGCCTCCCAGAGAGGCAGAGTCTTCAGTGAAGATGGGGAGAGGTTCACCGCTCTGTGAAAGACTGTGGGCATTATTCAAGAATAATGTAACAATGTAACATTGCAGAGAATTTGGGAATTTCATCATCCATAGTACATAATATCATTAAAAGATTCAGAGAATCTGGAGATATCTCTACATGCAAGGGACAAGGCCGAAAACCAGAACTGGATAGCCGTAATCT